CGTAGGGAAAATGGCAAGGAGAGTTTTTTGGAGAAGATAATAATTCCTTATACTTATGTAGCACTTTTCTGGACACTCGCCTCAAAGCACTTCACAGGTAATGGGGACTCCCGTCTACCACCACCAATGTCCAGCACCACCTAGATGATGCGACAGCAGCCATGGTGCACCAGTACGCTCCCACACAAAGGAAAAGAGTCACATCAGTGAATGCAACTGAGTTATTTCCTTTAGTGTTCTCTAATGCAAAGTTATCCATTGCTATCTTTTATATAGGACTCAAAAGGCCAGTGGTTTCCTTCAGGGGTTACTGCATTGATGCAAGAGGGTCTCCATCATGCTGTTTAGATTGAAGTGATTATCACTAGAAAGAAGTGAACCTTCGTTGTGATTCTCAGTGACGGGTCTGGCAAAGAGATGTTTGACCTTTTCATTGTGGATCAAGGCCAGCTGGGCCCCCCGCCCCCCGCCCCCCTCCCTGCTGCCCTCAGGCTCAGGTCTCTCTTTCCGCAGGTGTGCCTGGGTGATGGAGCCAAGGAGGAGAGCAATGTAGTGGAAGTGACGGCCCTGAACCACCATGGCAAGAAGGTGTCGGTGCCCGTGGCCAACTTGCACCTCTCTTGCCTGCCCATGGTGAGAACATGAGACAGGTCACAAATCAGAGGAGGCCATTTGGCCAATCAGGCCTGTTTGGTAGTTAGTAGTTAATTGGTCCCAGGATCTGGTTAGAAACTAGGGTATTGGCTTCAACAACAAGTACCACGCTCCCACCACCCTTTGTGTAAAGACGTATCTCCTATTTTCGTGTTTAAACGCACTCCCCTGTAGGTTGCACTTGTTCCCTCCGTTAAGAACGTAAGAAAAGGGCTGTGGCGATCACTCACGGCCTTCACTGGGGCTGGAATTGTGTCCTAAACCTAGTTCACAAGGGTAACGGACTTCTTAACCCTTTCCTAAACTGCAGTTATTTTTTGCATTTAGATGGCTGATTTAGAATTGCCCTGCTAGTTACTAACTCTGCCTCCTGGAGAGAATATCAATGGAAAACAGTAAGCAGATACTTCAGAACTCCAAACATTATGGCTAGAATTAATCTTAGTGCCACTAGCCATTGTTGGAGGGAATGCGGGGAGAGTATAGCTACATATTTGCATGTCTTCTGGCATTGCCCTAAATTAGAAATTTACTGGCAATTGGTTTATCATGCTATAAATAACATTATAGACATAGATTTGCCAAAAGACACTGTAATGTCAATACTAGGGGTGAAACCAGAGGTTATTCATACAACAAAGCAGGCTTACTTGCTACAGATTGTACTAGAAGCTGCAAAAAAGGCAGTCACACTAAATTGCCTTAAAAAGAACCCTCCAACCTATGGGCAGTGGTTGTAATAAAATAGATTTATCTGATGGAAAGGATTACCTTTTTATTGAGATTGCAGATGAGTAATTTTACTGAAAAATGGAAGTCAACTATAGACAAGGTAGCGGGACCATGGGACAAATTAGTATAACTTAAATCTCGATGGAGAATAGCAGTAGTAACCACAGGTATCAGAACAGTTCTTCCCCCAAGTTAATAGAAATAAGAAAGTAATTATGGAAAAGTAAGACTCCAGTAGATCACAGCAATATTATCAAGCTCACCTATTTATCTTGTATGGTTTTTTTTTTTGTTTTTCTTGGTAGGTTTGTTTGTAATATCATTGAAATGAATGGTGATCAATTATATTATTGGTATTTCTAGTGAAAATGTACATACATGAGAATTTAATGCAAGATATAAGTATAAAACACAGAGCAATAGCTGGCTATTTCACTTGAAAGCCAACAGTTGCCTATTCGTCTTGTGAGCTGAAACCATTATTGATACTCTGTAGCAAAATATTTAGCCGTACTGCCATGCTTCCTTCTGTCAAGTCATTAACTGGATGAATTGTGCCAATCAAGGGTTTCTGGTTAAAGCTGACCTATTTTAATATTTTTTTAAGCTCCAGCCCCGGTGATAAAGCAGGTCAGTCCATGTAATCTCTTACATTTTACTCCTCTTCTTTTTTTGTTTCTTCACAAAGGTCAGTCTGGGAGAGTTTGAGCTGAGGACTCCAGTGACCTTTCGCTTGAAGTCTGGCTCGGGACCAGTCTGCATCAGTGGGCAGCATCTCATTGGTGAGAGCAGGGCCTAGTTCGTGGGATGGGAGCCCCACTCAGTTACTACATCTCAAAGGGTAGTGTACACATTAGTTGGATTACCTGGGCAGCGCAGTAGCACAGTGCGTTGCATTGCTGCCTCGCAGTGCTGGGCCCAAGGTTTCAATTCCTGGGGTACAGTCTGCATGGAGTTTATATGTTCTCTCTCGGTTTGCATGGGTTCCTCCCACAATCCAATGAAATACTAGTAGGTTAAAAGGCTTCAGAGAGATGTGAGTGTGGTGTAAATGTGTGCATATTGGTGTCTGTGTGTGCCCTGAGATAGACTGCTGCTCCTCCAGGGTTTATCCTGCCTTGTGCCCATTGCTTGCAGAGATAGGCTCCATGGCACCTCCCCAACCCTGAATCGGATAAAGAGGTTAGAAGTGCATCAAGACCTTCTCTCAGTTTGTCGTTTAAACGGGAACTGCAATTCAATTTTTGTATTTCGGGGTTAGAGAGAAGCAGCACTGAAGAGTGCATTTCCAACCACAGTGACAATAAAATGTACACAGTAACGTGAAAAGACTAATTCACATCACCACACAGACAAAATTTCCAGTAATGCGCTGCGCCCTGTTGTCGTCACAGTCTGTGATTCAGAACGAGGCAACAAAACAGCCAGTGATGTGAATCGGCCCTATTCCATTGTAAACAAGCAGGCTTGTGAATACATTCCAATAGAAATATTGCTCTCAACTTTCAAGAAAGGGTTTTGCCAACAAATACTACTTGTTAATTTTTCTTGCAGATCATGTTAGAGCATTTCTGCGGTGAAATGTCTGCTGCACTACCTGTAGTTATTTGCTCGTACATCACATTACATTTGTCATTACAGAGACTAGTAGGCAGGAAGGGCCACATCATGTCACAAAATGTGTAAACGCGCTTTTGTCCGTGGCATGACCAGGGGTTTGCGACAACAATAACCTTACAGTAGTTACACAAAGTTTTCTAATTCGCATTTGTAATGTTTCTATACTGTCAATTTGTTACCAAGATTTAAGAAGCAGTCTGAGAAATAGGGACTGCAGTTTCCCTTAAACCTGAAACCCATAACGGGGTTCTCTCTAAAATTGTTCAAACGTTTCAGGAAGACCGTAATCAAAATGGGACAGGTTGCCCGGTTTTATTATTCTGTACCCACATTATTTTACTTTTCACTAACCACATAAAGGACTGCTGACCTGAATCTGACCTGACCTTAACTCCTGAATGAACAGCCATAAGAACCGGACATCTCCGGCAACAAGTAGAGTGGGCTCATGCTTGGACCTCAGGGTCCCGGGCCTTTGTAAGCGCTCGTTCCTTTTGTCATGGCTCTCGGGGGATTTCGCTTTTCGCCGATTCAGTAAAAATACAGAAATAGGTGCTTCGCCACCTGTCTTCTGAGGAAGGCTAAATGTTGACCTTGCGAGGTGCTCTTTTTCCCTTGCAGCATACGAAGACGAGGATTCCGATGCGACTGAAGAGGACGAGGAGAGTGAAGAAGAGATTGTTCCCATCAAACCAGCGAAAAAGAAACAGAGGAAGTCCTAACTGCGGCCATAAAGGTATTCCTCTTTCCCTCCCACTTGCAATGGCCGACTCAGAAGTGATTGTGTTCTGCCCTGATCTCACTCTCCTAGGATTAGAATAATTTTAGATTACAATGAGATCTGAACTGCAGGACTGACATATTTGCTTCATTTGTTAACTAGAAAATAAATGCCAACTGGACATGAGCAGTGGGTTAGGGCCTTCTGGAAGACAGCAGTCTTCACAGCTGGAGATCTCACACTTGCCTCTCTTGTTTTTCAGCTGCAGCCACCAGCGACCTTTGAAGAAATTGGATACATTTTTTAATGTATTTGATACTTTTTTTTATGATTGTCTTCTCTATTACGGTATGTCAAGTTGGGAGAAAAAGAGCCAAAGTCAACAGCGAAAGGACTGATCCACTGTCTGGTACAGGATAGGTCCCGATAGGACCTAACATCTGGACTGAGGTTTACAGTTTTTAAACTGTGACAATTTTCAACATGTATATGGTCTGCTGTATGCAGACTTTACCTGTCTTCAACTCGGTTCAGCAGCAGGAGTATGGTGGTTTCACAGCTCAACACCAGCACTGCCCTCATAGGGTGGCATCACAGCCCGTTTTCGTTGTTGAAACCATCGTTCTCCCTTCCACGGAGGACTGCTGGGACTCTTTTTGTATATTTATATGCAGTGTATAAATAAATCAGTCTTGTTATTTTTAGAATTGTTGTCCTCTTTATTGTCATTTAGAGTGATATTGCACAGATGCAGATACATTTCCCGCAGCATAATAGTTTGAGCAAGATCGGGCTGTTTTGCGTTGTCCGAGAAGTCATTCAGGCGTGGACTCGGGTGTGATCTTCAGCCCAGTGTCGCTCGGCTGCGGACTTCAGCCCAGTGCTCCGTCCTACTCCAAGCTTGACCCGATACACTGTATTAACCACTGTCTGCCCAAAGGTCACTATAGGTCCTGAAGAAATCTTAGGCTCTCGTAATTCCAAGTCACCACTTCAACTAGCATTCTGACCAGCTTTAAGAAAACACACTAGGAGAAAATGAACCTTTCTGCTGCTTGTTGTAACACAGGTTAAAGAGGAGTTTCAGAAACCTAAACATTTAACATCTTTTAAAAGAACATTTGCACAAGCAAGTTCTTAAGCACTTAGTAAAAAATCACTCCATGTCATGTTGCCCGCCCACCCCCAAACCCTCCTCAGGTCCCACAGATCCATTTAAAATCAAACTAGTGTCGCAGGATGGTCCAGGTCATGCGTGTAGCCCTGTGGCAGGTCACAGCCCTTTGTTGAAGTACACATAGCGGACACTGTCTCCGTACTGAGAGCGGATGGAGTCCCTCAGCTCTGGTTCCAGTTTGGACACGGCCATGGAGCTGGAATTCAAGGAAACAGACCGTACATATACACTGGAGGACAAACCAGGACAGGACAAAAGCAGTATCGTGGATTCCTTACCATCTCTGGGGAAACAGGGAGCAAGCAGCAGGCACCATGAAGGTCAGACTGCAAGAGAAGGTTTGAGTTTTAAAATGGTTTCCCTCCAACAGGAGCTCTGACACTAGAGAGAAGGGCAACGTCCGGGGCAGCCGAGGCTCCTGGGACAATCCGCTCTCTTGGGAAGGAGCAAGGACGGAGGCAAGGCCGTGCCCAGCTGCAGCAGGAGCACGTGAAGCCATCATTACTTACAAAACTCCCACCATCATCACTTGTAACGGCGCGTGGAGAAAAGCAATCCTCTGCAGAAGAGAGAAAAAAAAACAACTTACTGGAGAAAGCAAATCAAAGTCCTTGTCCCTGCCCCTTTTGAAGCATAAACGAGTTAACTAGTATCTCCACAGAAACGGTTGTGTGCATGAAAGTTCTCCTTTATTGACACCAATGTGGTCTTTGTGCCTGAAGTCTGATGGAAGAGAGCCTCTTGTTTTCAACAACTGGTAGCCCCACCACAGTAATGGACAGAAAACGAAGTTACAATGGATACCTTGTTACTTCAATTTTCTTCCAGAATAAAACCTACTTGAATCTGCTCACACCAGACCTGTTCCTCCCAGCACTCTGATGGAAATACTGTTCTGTGCTGATATTGATGTTTTAGTAGTTAAAAGCAGCATCCTGCTTCTGTAATTTTCTGCAGTAAGCCTTCTGCTATGGCCACCGCTCCGCCATCATCCTTGCACACACCCCGCAGAGACGAGATTCTGCAGCAGATCCTTAGCTCGCAGGACTCTATCAGACATTTAGCAATAGGGACAGTTTTTAATTGGTCAAAGGCACAGCTGGAGGTGTTTGATTGCCACTAACAACACTCTACAGTCTGCCTGCCTGCCCTGTGAAATCACCGCTCACTCGGCGAGACGACAAAGAATCTGCTTTATTAAGCGTCGCTGTTTCTTCTGTGGCCACACCTGCCTCCTGAATCCACTCTTTCAATTAATTTCTTTAGATTATTTTAAAGACGTTATACATAAAATTTAACAGCAGCTACAACCAGCAGACCTTTCATCCTTTAGCCGATACAGCATTACAAACTCAGGATTTTTGCAGAGACAAATTTGCACTCAAAAGATCTTGAAGCACCTGGCTTTAGGGGAGAATAAAACACACGTGCTATAGTGCTTAAGAAAGAGAAGACAACATACCTGCATGAATTTGTATTTTTCAATCCTCTGCATTACAATGGGCAGGATAACTAAAAAAAATAAGAAAAATAAAACTATGAGACCTCTGTGGAGGCAAGGGCACATTTCCTGTGGCTACTGGGGAGAGTTTCCCCTACCCCTACAACCTGTTAAGACACAAACAAGTAAGAAAAAGAATTCATAAACACACTTTTCAACATGCAATTTAATAAAACACATCGTGCTACAAGATTGGTTAGCAGAGAGCTGTGTATTCCTGGCAAGGATCACAGCAGCCTAAGTCCTGTCTTGGGAAAAAGCTGAAGGCAGACGAGCACGTACAGGGACAATTTGCAGACACCACTTAACCTGTAGTACCTGACAGGTCACCTGTGAAACTGAATTAAAATAAGTGCTTTAGCAAGGATCCTCAAGAAGTGTAAATGGACAACTGCACAACGGAATTTTGAGGAATCTTGAAATAGGTTTGTGTATGTCCAAAAATTGTCTGCCTTTTTACCGTACACACGTGATCATGAATGAATTTGAGACTTGCTTGTTATCCTGCACTCCTTATAGCAGGAGTAAGTGTCGCATACAGCGAGTGTTCTGAGAGTGATTTTTCCCAGGACACCCTAGACTCCAGGCCCCTGGGTTTGTGCAGTAGTCTGCCCCCCAGTGGAGGCCCAAGAGTGAAAACTGGAGCAGGTCCTTTTCCTTCAAATACCCATCGCCGTTTGTGAAGTTCATACCATTAAGATTTATTTAACCCCTGTGGAGGGTTACAATCTGCTTTATTTCATAGCAGGAGAAATGTGTTTAGTCAGTTTTCTAAAATCGGCCGAGGAATGCTTGGCCCGTGGTTACCTTGGTTACCCGTGGTTACCCTGGCCCTACAATCTACAAACATGACTGGTATAATTCATGGTGTTGGACCATAAACCCCATGTCTCTCCCCTCAGTGGAGGTGCCTGTGCAGCCCCAGATGGATAGAATCCAGGAGAGCTGTGGGCACAGCCGGCTGGCAGCAGATGGCCCTGTGGCAGTGGTGAGTGGGGTAAGAGGTGGGGCGAGATCCAGATGTCCTCGCCCACTCTGCTCAACAGCTGGTACCCAGCCTGCCGGGCACTGCTGAGCCCTGGCGCGGCACACTTACTCATCCCCGGGGCTGCCATGGTGACACGAGAGACGACCACCTGCGCAATCCCTTTTATGGCAGCTTTCTGAAACATGGCAGGAGAGAAAGAGGGCACTCAGGGAGGGTGCACTAAACCCGCCTCTACCACCCAGACCACAGCCAAAGAAAACGGGCAGAAGACAGTCGCACATTGATCACAAGAAGCCGACTACAGACTTCATCTCCAAAACACTGTATGGAAACTACAGTGGTACCCAGACACTTTCTATGCGTAAGTATTTGTTAGGCAAGTTTACATATACTGTATACAGGTAGTCCTCGATTTACGATGGGGTTAGGTTCCGATGACCCTGTCGTAAGTTGATTTCGGCGTAAGTTAAAAATTGCGATCTCGTGTACTACATGAATCATACGGATGCATCAAGAATTAACCTGCATAAATGCTACATGTTGTAATATGGCTTTGGTATATTTTTTCACTAAGTTTACTCTTTACTCATGGTAAAATAATACAATGTAGATATTACAATTTGAAATACACCAAAAGTAATCAATAATGAAAAATGAATACAAAAGTGCTGCTTTGCACTTACCGTTAATGTAGTCAGCTGAATGTACACTGGGCCGAACACTGACTTTTTTTGCTTGCTAACCACCCAAACAATAACATGAGGCAGCATGGTGTCATGCAGGCTGATGATGTCATCAATGTTGGACGAAAATAATACACGGTACTGTTCAGTAATACGATTAAGGGAATGGCCATCATAAGTGTGAGTGGTCGTAAGTCGCATACGTTGTAAGTCGAGGACTACCTACAGTATATATAGCATGTCATGTACACAACTATACATGAGCTCAAAAAAAGTCTCATAGCATAGGTGTAGGTGCTCATGCTCAGAACTTGTGTTTCAATGCACTATGCAATGTCATACAGTATATACTGTATATGCACTTTTACCAGGTAACAACACCTGTGCACTGTGTGTATTTGCAATACATCCAAAGGGATCCTAAATCTGGTTCATTCCGCATGAAAATCAAATGAACTGTAAAGTCTAATAAAAACATACTACCATTCTTTCTGAAATCACTGTGGGTCTAACATACACAATAGTTCCAACTGGCTTCTAAAGAGCTCATTGGCCGGAAAGGAGAGTTTTCATTATTTTCCTTCAGGATAAGAGACAGGGCCCACAGTACAGAGTGAATTAAGAGCCAGCACTCACCCTGGAGTGGCCCAGCTTGTTGCCATTCTCGTCTGTGACCGAGATGCCATTCAGGATCTCCCTGACGGGACAGGAGGATAGAAGATCTGACAGCTGCCCCAGCTGAAATAGCCCTGCAGCCTGCCCACTGTACCATGGACACGGCGTCTGCACGTTCTGACCGCATCGGAGGGCAAAGTTCGTTTCACCCTGACTTTGCAGGGCTGACGGAACCTCCCTGCCCTTCTTTACATTACAAGCCTGCGTCACTCAGAAACAAAGTCATTCTATTTCTGAACTAGCAAGGGAACAAAACAAACACAGCTTGCACGATTTCAGGAGTTTAAAATAGCCAAGAGTCAAGGAAACACTCTTGAGCAGTGCAGTGACAGTCACAGTCTACTGAATTACAAGGCCTCCGATCCCACACAGCCCACAGGACCCCAGTACTCACTGCTGCCTCATCATGGGGATGTTGACACAGTTAGCTGCTGCCACGGCGACAAAGGGCACCCAGCGGGCAACGAGGGGAGAAGCTTTCTGAGAAGGAATGAAAAAAGTGCGAATCTCACCAGGCTGAGGGCACACAAAGCTGGACTAATACATTGTTACTTTGAATTTAGTTGTTGGATGTTGTTACCCAAAGTGACTGGTATCTGTACTCATTAATGCAGCGGGGCTATTTTTTGGAAGCAGTCCGAGTGAAGCACCTTGCTCAAGGTGACGACAGCAGGGTCTCACCTGGGATTGGAGCCCAGGTGGTAGACTGGTAGACCTGAACGGTTTGTGTTCAGGTATTTGCCTTAGAAAATCGTTTGTTTAAAATTCACTGATACGCAAAGAACGATATAGTGGCGTTTGTTGAGTTGCGCCATCTCACATCCTCTCTTGCCCTTCTGCATGATAAATACACAGAGCGAGAGAGCTACACACGAGGCGTCGCGATGGAACGGTGCCATCTTGAATCTTTACATATTTATGGTTCCCCACAACATATTTATTGTTCTGGTTATTATTTAAAGTTTTTGTAATGTACTGTCCACATTGTGTGGTGTCGTCAGTTGTACTGTGTCGTCTGCTGTACTGTGTCCATCCTGAGAGATGGGCGTGAATAAGAATTCCAACATACGTGTACTTATGGCAATGAACTCCTCCACTCTACAGCTGAAAGAACTTGCTCTGGCTCAGTGTTGTATCCGTCCAGGCCTCATTTCTGTCACTCCTGACCCAGGTTTGTTTGAATAGTCAAATATATTTTTCCGCAGCATTTAAAAAAATCTATATACCTTAATTAAAATCATAACAGGGGCCAGCAGCCATATCACCCTGCAACTCACAACTGGCAGCCCACTGAAGCTAAGCAGGTGTGAGCCTGGTCAGTACCTGGATGGGAGACCTCCTGGGAAAAAACTAAGGTTGCTGCTGGAAGAGGTGTTAGTGGGGCCAGCAGGGGGTGCTCACCCTGCGGTCCATGTGGGTCCTAATGCCCCAGTATAGTGACGGGGACTCTATACTGTAAACAGGCGCCGTCCTTTGGATGAGATGTAAAACCGAGGTCCTGACTCTCTGTGGTCATTAAAAATCCCAGGGCGTTTCTCGAAAAGAGTAGGGGTGTAACCCCAGCGTCCTGGCCAAATTTCCCATTGGCCCTTACCAATCATGGCCTCCTATTAATCCCCCTCTATGAATTGGCTTCATCACTCTGCTCTCCTCCCCACTGATAGCTGATGTGTGGTGAGTGTTCTGGCGCACTATGGCTGCCATCGCATCATCCAGGTGGGGCTGCACATTGGTGGTGATGGAGGGGAGTCCCCATTACCTGTAAAGCGCTTTGATTGGAGTGTCCAGAAAAGCGCTATACAAGTGTAAGCAATTATTATTATTATCACTACTATTATTATAAACATACGTTGCCACAAGTTGCTGCTGCTATTTGCTTGCAATTTTTCCGCTCTAATAGTCCCATCCTGTGAAGTTTCTGAAATGCCCTGATTTGTAGCTGCAGCGAATTTTAAGAGGTGCCTCCCAGTCTGCGCAGCACAAACTCGTCCTCAAGGCGCCTGTCAGTCTGATGCCACAGCAGCTGCTGGAGAAACACCCTTCCTGAAGACTCAGATGTGACAACGGGCCCGAAGGTGCTGTTTCTCCAGCAGCTCGGAGTGAGCTCGGCCTTGCAGACACCCCGCCAGCGCAGTCAGTGAAAAGTGACAAATTGAAAAGGAGAGACGCTGCACACTGGAAATCACACATCTCAAACCCCCGTCAGGGTCAGTGAAAAGTGAAGCCCGATGTTATTTTAACTTTTAACTCAATAGTTTCCCAAGCCTCGCTAGTTGCTCTTAATGGACAGTGAGAAACTAAATGGCAATATCCACATTCAAACCTCAGCAGTTCTCAGGAGCTCACAACATGTGTGATACCCAGTAGAATTAACTCCATTCAGCATGCTGTATACATAGGAACAGGCAAAGGTTTATTCCATGCTGAAAGGAAAAGAAAAGAGACAACATTTCGGCTGTGGAGCCTTCTTCAGGTGTTAGCAGGTGTGAAGAATGCTCCACACCCGAAATGTTGTCTCTTACCGGTTTCTTTGGTACCTACGCATGCTGACGCAGCTACCTACTCGAACATGTTATATACATGCTGTATTGCCAGTGAGCTTCAGATCTTAGAAGCTAAGCAAGGCTGGTCTGTTTAGCACAGAGATGGGAGACCTCTTCAAGAAAATCAGGTTGTAGATGCAAGTGGTGGTTTTAGACCAGTCGACCAGTAGGTGGCGCACTCCGTACTGGACTAGAATTTCCATAGCAAATGTCACAATGTCACAACCGCTGCATGAGATGTCATCCTTCATATGAGATGTTAAACACAGGTCCTGCCTACTTCATTGACGATCCCAGCACTATCTGTAAGAGTAAGGGTGTAAAAAAAGTTGTGGCTAAATTCCATTATGTAATTGTACAGTCTAGCCTTCCTAAAACTTGCTTTTCAAAACTGGTGAAGCAGTTTCTTTCACCTCCCCCTGATCTTCTCTGCAGTAGGTGCTGCTGGGGCAGAATGGCTGTTGTGTATCACCCATGACAGATGTGGCTGCACTGCAATGGTGAGTGACGTAGATGCTAAATATACTAAGTATCTTGGGGTAATTTTTGAAAAGCACTATATAAATTCAAGGGATAGTAGTAACAACAACAATAATATTAATAGCAGTTCTTATCAAAACGGAGTTAGTCACTCCTGCGTCAACTGGATAAATCACTTTCAATATTAATCAAAAACAGATTTGGGTTACGTTTTTATAAATGGATCATTAAGAGTGAACTGTGAGACCTGGTGCACTGTCTGACTGACTAATATGAATAATAAGTACAATACAGAAGTCTCATTTTGTCATGATTCCATGCATACATTTTACCATAATAAAACAAAAACAAACTGTGTTCAACCTAGTGATTTCAAGCATCCATTTCAGAGTGGAAAAGTCAGTACTTTGTTGTTTTTCCTCACTGAGACAATTAGTGCATTAAGTCTGTAAACCAAACTCTTTGTGTAATCTCTCACATCCACCGTGAGCTCTTTGCTCTTGGGGTATTTTCAATTTAAATCGTCTTTTCAGCTTGGAAAATGCTGCGCAATTGAAATTAGAACCTGAGATGGCTCCTTTTTCTCCCCTTGGTAGCATGAACCCCTTGGTAGCACCGGTCTTATGTTTTGGGTCATTGTCATGCTGCACAGAGACGGCCCTTCTAATAACAGCAAAACACATAGAATAGAGCAGACTAAATGTTTCTGGAAAGCTCAGAATTGATTCTGCTGCTGCCATCATTAGTTACAGGTGAGTGAGCCAGTGCCAGAGGCGGCCATGACAGGACCTCTCTCAGGCTTCAGAACCTGGAGAGTTACAGAATGATGATTTAGGAGTGAAGGAGGCCAAGATAAATTCAAAATGAAGGAAAGGTAAAAGTGTGGAGAAAGAAAAAGCATGGTGGAGGCATTGTTAGGATTCATCAGGAAAATGTAAAATACGCAAAACATATGAAATCTGCATGGCACACACGTGCATAAGTTGTCATTTGAAAGATTCATAAGAAGTGATAAACCATATCTTGGCCGCAATGCCTCACAGTGCCAATGCCTTACCTTAGTGTAGAGGTTCAGGCCCACTGCTGTAATGACGGCCGTGTTGGTGGCAGTCACATAGGCCACTCCAATCTGCCTGAGACACACAGGGCACGTCACACACTGCCTCTCCAACACAGCCCCTGTGGGGCAGCTGCTCACACACTGAACAAGGGCCTTGTGTCTGTCAAACGCCCGGAAACACCATGGGCTGCGTATATCCGCCTTGACCCCAGACATCAATCCAACACGGCTGTGGTCTCGGCCTCAAAACAATACGACTCTCTTGCCAACCCAAGAGTCTCAGGTCAAGCGGGTCATCTTTTCAGTCAGGCTGAAGGTCAAGTGTTAAAGATCAACAACTGCATAGCAATGGGTTCGCACAGCTGGTCTTCACATTAGACATTAAAACCCCACAGGGAGGACACTAAATCATGAACAGTTCCAGAGGTTCTTACTGCTGCACAGTGGAGTCCCGCACATCTCCAGCTTCCACAGACTCCAAACCTGTCACATTAAACATTGATCTTGTTGATGCTTTTTTATCTGAACCAAGTTCCATTTTGGCCCATACAGACAGGGCATTTACTGAAGCGATTGGAGTGAGGTGCCTTGTTCAGCAGTACCCTTGGCTTTCAGTCCCCACCTCGGATTCAAACCCATAATTCCAGTTGTAGGTACTGTACATAACCACAGTGCTGCCCCTCTCACTCCTGGTCAGTTTCAGGGCTGCAGTCCAGCAGGTTTTATGGGCAACTTATAAATGTCAATAAGTAAACACCTGGACCACAGACCTGAACACGGACCACTGAAGTGAACAGCTGTCTTACATTAAGAGCCAGGAAAGAATGAAATCAAGACGTGGCCAAGAGTAAAAAGCCAAAGGTTAATAAAAGAAAAATAAAGGATTGACCCTGCCAAACTTACTTTTGTGTAATGGGTGATGCTGCATTCCGATTGGTGTAGTTGACCAAGGCATTGAAAGACTGGTTCACCCACTGCCAGAACACCACTGCCGGCACCGTCCTGAAAGAAAACAACTCATTGACCTCACTGACCACCGCAGCCCCGCAGAGTCAGTACTCCCCCTCACTGACCACCACAGTCCGGATGAGTCAGGACTCCCCCTCACTGACCACCACAGTCCGGATGAGTCAGGACTCCCCTCACTGACCA